TAAAAAAAAAAAATCCCAGCGGTGAATAAATACCACCAAAATAAAGCTTTCTGTCTAAAAAAAATGGTAAAAAATTCATATGGGTACAGTATTGCATGACCGCGCAATTGTCATTCAAAGTGTGATAGCGCTGAAAGCTGAAAATTGACCTGGACAGAAGGGGGTAAAAGTGTCCGGACAGGAAGTGGTTAAAATGTTGTCATGTTACAACCAAAAACCTAAATGTATTTTATTGGAATTTTATGTAATAGACCAGTGGTTGGCAAGCCGCGGCTCACGAGCCACATGCGGCTCTTTACACAGTTTAATGCGGCTCTTCTGTGTGCCGGGCACCCGCTCCCCTCCCTCCTCTCGGGCGGCCGCCCCAAAAGTCAGGACTCTGCAGCTAGCCCAGCAATGGGCAAACTACAGCCCGGCGGACCTTTTAATCGGCCTGCGGAGCGTGGCAAACATTGGCTTTCAGGATGTAGGCGGGGCAGCGTGACGAACTCCTCTCCTCTCACAGTCCGCCCTGAAGACCAGAACGGCGTGGGAACACGGCGAGAGGAACGCGCGGAGCAAAGGTAAGTGAATTGACACAATATGGGGAATGAATTACTATAGGGGGGATGTATTTTCAGTTTTAAAAATGTGGCTCTCAAAATAAAATTTCAATCGTGGTTTTGGCGAGATTTGGCTCAGTTGAAAAAAAAAAAAAAGGTTGCCCACCACTGTAATAGACCAAAACACAAGTGGCACATAATTGTGAAGTGGAAGGAAAATGATAGGGGGCTGAATATAAATGCATGGCACACTTCACACATTTTTGTAATTTTTGAAAACCATCTGAGCCAATACTTTGTAGAACCACCTTTTGCTGCAACTACAGCTGCAAGTCTTTTCGGGGATGTCTCTACCAGCTTTGCACATCTAGATTTAAATTTTAGCCCATTCTACTTGTAGCTAATAGCTCAAGCTCTGTCATATTGGATGGAGAGTGTCTGAACAGCAATTTTCACGTCTTGCAACAGATTCTCAATCGGATTTAGGTCTGGGCTTGGACCATTCTAACATTAATATGCTTTGGTCTAAACCATTCCATTGTAGCTCTGGCTGTATGTTTAGGGTTGTTGTCCTGCTGGAAGGTGAACCTCCGCGACAGTCTCAAGTCTTTTGTAGATTCTAACATGTTTTCTTCCAAGATAGCCCTGTATTTGGCTCCATCCATCTTCCCATCAACTCTACCAGCTTCCCTGTCCCTGCTGAAGAAAAGCATCCCCACAACATGATGCTGCCACCACGTTTCATGGTGGGGATGGTGTGTTTAGGATAATGTGCAATGTTTGTTTTCAGGCCAAAACGTTCAATTTATATGACCAGAACACCTTCTTCCACATTTGCAAGAAGCCATGTGGAGGATACAGCAAACTGCAAATGGGACTTTATGGCTGCTTCCCACTCTTCCATAAAGGCCAGATTTGTAGAGTACACAACTAAATAGTTGAGCTGTGGATCTCTGCAGCTCCTCCAAAGGACAAGTGGGAGAATCTGCCCAGAGTTACCATGGGCTTCTTTGCTACTTCTGATTAACCACTTCCTGTCCACCCTATAGCAGATTTACTGCTACAGGGTGGCACAGGTGAGCAAAATCATGCACACATGATTTTGCATTCCCAGGTAGGGGGCGTGGGCGAGCCCTACCCGCACCGCCATTCGCATCCTCGGCTGTCAATTACCGGGTCCCGGCCAGTGATTACTCGCTGGCACCCGGTGATTGCTGAGCATCTCTGGCTGTGTTTCTGCTTCACTGTAGGCATACTCCCGTCACACAGTTGCAAATGGTACACAGTTAACCCTTTCCTGCCCAGTGCCATTAGTACAGTGTCAGTGCTTATTAGCACTGATCACCATTTGTGTCACTTGGGATGTCAGTGACACCAAGTCAGTTTTCCCCCCCCCCTCCCCCCCCACCACCACTACTAGTAAACAAAATCCCAGCATATATACACCGCCATTTGTAAACATAATTTTCACGTATTGGGATTTTTTTTTTTAGCAAAGACATGTAGCAGAATACATTTTGGCTTAAATGACAAACATGTCCAGTAAAATTAAACAAATTTCAATAGCAAGAAGTCAAGTTTTTCCCCAAAAGGATGATGGATTGAACAGTGCTCCGTGAGATGTTAAAAGCAGGGTAAGGTTATAGTACAAAAAAAACAAAAAAAAAAAAAAAAAAAACCAAAAACACCACACACGTAAGGTTTTCTGGTTTTATATCTGCCCAGTAAACTGAGCCATTTTTTGTTCTACCTTATTGCTGGTAATTTTATGAACAGAATATCACACAAAATTATTTCTTGTATTCTTTATTAAAAAATACTGCTGTACACATGAAAACTGTAGGAGAAAAAAACAAAACAAAACATGGGTAACATCTGTGTTTGGAGGGGGGGGGGGGTTGGGGGGGAAGACACTAGAACTTAACATAGGTGCATTATAAAGTCCTTGACAATACAGGATGCACTCCAGGGCATAAATTTGTACCCTCATGTAATATTTACAAGGCAAAAGAAAAAAATTACAAATATACAAAATGTAAAACAAAACTCGCATGATTTGTTTTCTCTGTGCTTTATCTCTGTTAAAATGGAGGGATGCAGTCATCCCTTGTATGATAAAGTTACATTGCTTGGGTGTCTTACATTATTTGCCTCCAGGTTTTATTACAATTTGGGAGGACATGTTATCTTGGAAAAATAAATTGCATCCATAAAAACTGACACCACCCTACCAAAAAAAACACAAAGAAACTTGTGGGAAATTCAAGACTTTTGCTATAAAGTCTTGAAAAATGTGACTGCAACAAACCGGTGTGAGCATTAACCTCCTGAATTTTTTTTTTTAATTTTTTTTTTGCACTTTAACATTTTAGGCAATTGGTTACATCAGGATTTAGTATAGAGGGAAAAAAAATGTAAATGAAAAGGCGTTCTTCTAAAACATAGTAAGCAAATGCTGGTTTACTACCATTAGAAAGCCCTGTTACCTAGTTTTGGTCCCACAAGTAAAAAAAAAAAAAAAAAAAAAAAAACACAAGAGAAGCAACCAAATGGCTAAGGATATTTGTATACTACCCCAATGGAGCTTGTAATGGTACATTGTTTCCAATTATTCCAGTATCCACTTGTATGGGATTGGATTGGGGGGGGGGGGGGGGAGAGGAGGGGGGGGTAGGCCAAAAAACCCAAAGATAAAAAGTAGTTTGTACACTGTCCTTATCCCTGCGATTCCCAAACAAAAATGCAGTCTGCTTATAAATTAAGCATATTTTTCTAGAATACAAGTATTTGTTTTGTACAAAAATTGCAATATGATTTGTCAAAAACATATAAAAAGACAGCTGCTTTTGTTATCTCATATACAGAAGCTAAAGATAAAAGACAGTTCTTAAACTCCCCTTAACAATGGTGATTTACTGAGTCCTTGTGGTATTTTGTAACAATTTCTCACAAATGGCAATTTAGATTTTTGGAAAGGAAAAAAAAAAAAAAAAAAAGTTAAAAAAAAAAAAAACAAAACATGAATTTACTTCCATGCTGAAAGACTGACAGCACCCAGATGATCTGTAATCTTTAAATCCTGCTATTAGAATGAAGACACTTCCACATTCTCCAGCATTTTGATGCCCAGTTCTCAAACTCCTCTCCAACACAGGTTCCTGGTGGGTACACCTTAAAGCTTAAAACAAAGTACAGTGGAGATGTTATGGACACAGTTATGAATCTGTTAAAACTTGAGTCAGCTGTTCGGATGTAACATCTAAAGTCTTGAGATTGGTTGGGAGCATCAGTGTCGCATTCAGTCATCTTCTGGCATAGCACAACAAGATATTAAAATATATGTATTTATAGATTCAGTGCTAAGAGGTTACAGTTACGCCTCTTCTACCAAGAAATAAATCCTATATATTTGGCAGTCTTATTTTTTTTTTTTTTTTTTTTTACCATTATAAAATTCACTCTGTGCCACAGCTTTCAAGATGGAGGAAAAAGGGAACTCTTTAAGACCATTCTTCTGGGGAGTTCAAACAAAATTTCTAAACCAGATACCAAGCTGTAATGTCCCCTTGTGTTCACCAAGAGGGCCTGTCACCAGAAGAACATTGCATCACATTCATTAACAGTGTCTCTGCATCCAGTGTAACACTAGTAAAGCTGTGGTTCTGACAATAAAACATTTACGTGATGTATTCCTGAAACACTGTGGCTATCAGAGCAACAGACCATACAAAAAAAAAAAAAAAAATTGCATAAATGTTTAGGACAAGCAGGAGACCTATGTACATCTTGCAAAAGGCGCTGGTTGTGTTTCTAGAGAAGACAAAGTAGCTCGTTGAAGGTGTTTTTTGATGGTTCTTGGTGTTAGACAAAAATATGCTTCAATGATGGGAGAACATGGAGTTGATCCTATGCGCCCAGATCAGTCTCTTAAAGAATGAGGTTTGCACAGCATAATTCTACAAAGGGTTGACAAGAAAGGGTTTATGGAATTGTTGTACCACCTGGTCCACTTGTGATATGATGGACAAAAAAAAAAAACAAACATTTTGCTGTTAGTGACGATCACACTGTGCCCCTGAATTTAGGTTTAAGAACAAAAAGGAAAAAAAAAAACAAAAAAGAAAAAACAGCTTTTTCCCTTCAATGTCAGAATCTTCAAATTAAAAAGTAGTGCATACAAGTGGAAAACAAAATAACAGTAGGAACGTCATGCACCGGATGCAGTTCCTGAATTTAAAAAGAAACATCTTCACAGATAAAGCCTCCGTTGGCAGCCATAGCGCATGGTTAAACTCAAACAACCTTCTCTTCAAGTAACAGTGTACCTGACTGAAGTGCAGCAGCTTTTGCTCATCTGTTTGATTCCCAATAGTGAAATGAGATGACGAGGACAATTCAGCTGTAGTGCAATTTGCTATTGGTTTATTTCCTCAATGTTCTGCATGCGTTAGGCAAGTACTACAACTGTCCATTCGCGGCTGCCACCAGTTCCTGAAACGTATTTTCAAAGCAGCGTTTTAGATCACTGTAAGTTACCACAAGTACGCTCTTCTCATCCCTGGAAATTAGACTAATTTTTTCCGGCACACCAGCATCCAACTATAAAACAAAAAAAGGTGGGGGATGCTATAAATAGCATACAGACAGCAAACATAATTCGATTAGATGTATACAATCACAAATGCCAAAATGCTTTACCTTGTTAAGACAAGAGACGATATGACTAAGGTCAATCCAGGGCGTTCCTGCTTCTGTCACCTGATGGAAAAGATGATCCCTAAAGAGTTTCAGCAAGTATCTGTCCCCTGTTTCTGACCAAGCAGGATCTTTTTGAAATCTAAAAAAACGGGAAAGAAAACAACAAAAAAAACCCCATCAACAGGAAATGTTCTGGTGAGGATATAAATATTTACCATCTATACATTTTCATACATTTTAAACAACTGGGGGCAGGGTATGGACATTCAGATATTTACAAACTCTTAAGCAGCAGTAAAAAGGCTTTAAAAACAAACCCTCGCTGACCTTTATAGCTGTAGAGCAATTCATCCTTGGAATGCCTATTCAGCAGCTCAGCTCCTCCTGCCAGCAGTGAGCTTGCAGAATGACAGCATTCTAATTTATAATGTCAACAGCAGATGCACAAAATTCCCAGTCCCTTCTTGAAGAACTCACTGCACCTTCTGTAAATTGAGGAGGAACTTCTATGCAGTATCTACAGCTACAGAGGTCAGTGATTCATGCCCATAGCCTGGCCACAGTTCTACTTTGAGTATATGCAAAAGTTTACAGCTTTAAATCTCAATGAAGTGACAAACCCTAATGTGGGAGAATTGTTTTTCATCTCTGCAGATTAACAGGTACAACTTAGGTGATGTAGTTTTCTAAACATATGTAGAAATCCAAAAGCTTGTCTGTAATTTCAGCTCTTCCCTTTTTCTGAACTCACACTGCAGACCTCAGCAAGAAGAGCTTTGAAAGCCGATTGGACGGAAAGGATAACACCCCCCCCCCCCCCCTTCACATAGCTCCAGCTGAATGACAGTCTCAGCTCTGTTGTGTGCCACCTCCCATCACCATTTCTCTTGGGGGTCAAGAAAATGTGTCAGACGTGACTCCTGCTAAGAGCACAGGAATGAAGCAGCAGATTGAAATGACACTGTGCTCTTTGAGACACGTATACACTATAGAGGGATGTGGTTTCTGTAGTGAGCTGTCCTTTTTAAAGTGGTTGTAAACTAATATGAAATATAAAGTCCAGTGAATGGAGAGATCTTTGTGACCCCATCTCTGCCTTTTGGCAGATGTTACACATGCCAAGTAAGAAGTCTCACAGCACTGGCTCTTTTCAACACTGCATAAAAGTGTAAAGACCCATCCTAAAATATGCAAAGATTGTGCAACTTCAGTTTAAAAGCCTAGAGAGAGAAAAAAAAAAAAAAAAAAAATTAACCAGCCATGATTCATCAAAAAACTTAATCCCCTTTGGGCACACTGATTAAATTTTAATTTAGTCATACATACAAGTCTAAGGCTGGCTGGTCATGCATTATACAATTTTCCTTTAGATTTACCAAAAATATTAGAATTTGAGGGCAAACCTAATCGTTGACGGTAAATCTAAAGGAAATTTGTGGCTAGGTAAGCCAACTATGCAGCAATGGGGTGAGCACAGTACAGAATTCAAGGTGCCTATATGATAAAACGTTTGTGGAGAGTTTAGAAAGCTGGTTTCAAGCACTATCCTCCCTAAGTAAACGTAAAAAAAAAAAAAAAAAAAAAAAAGTTCTACAGCACTCAAAGTATACGAAGCTTTGTGCTGAAAGAATACAGCAACCTTATAGCCAACTATATTAGTCATTGTGTGCCAAAATGTTAAAATGTAAACTAAACTCCGCTCCTTTAAATTAACCAAAAAGATTTACATTAAAATTTTTATCTATGCTTAAATGTGAAACGAAATCGACCGAGGGCACTTTATTACTGTGCACAGACTTACTCTGGTCTCTCATTTATTGTTCCCAACTTTGCCAGGAGCCTGAATAAACGCCCATTTTGAACCTCCTGAAGAGAAAAAGGGTTAATGAAATCAAGGGTTAAAGATACAAAAAAAGTATATATTTTAGCTTTAAATTTTTATGTTCTACTGCTTTGTACAGGGGAGGTGGTGTTTAGGCTTGTCAGTCAATGTACATTCAGTGGCCATGATAGTGGTCCCAGATTACACAAGACTGCAAGAATGCAGACTAACCACTGCAAACATCTAGTCCTGCAGGAGTGAGATTTCCAAGTATGGAAAAATTTAGATCCATATATGTGCAGGCTGCTCATATAGAAATAGATCTACTAAAAAAAATTCACTCGATCAGGCTCACTGACAGCACTGATCAGTATTCTGATGGCGGGGTAAGTCTCCCCGCTGTTTGAATACAAAGGCTCAGTGGGGAGGATTCCCCTATACACATTGATGGTGTGGATGGGAGAATAGTCATTTTTTTCTGTTCAACCTACTGGTTGAAAGAACAAAATTACTCATGTATGGGCTGCTTTATGTCAGGTTGAGGACAACACTGAGCAGAAAATCATGCCACTGCTGCACTGAAATCTAAGCAAACAGGATATTAGGAGCGCACTGGAATTCTGGCTGATCAGTGATTTTTAAAAGCTAAAACCTGGGGAAACATGCAGATATCGCAGAGATTTCCTGACTATTTTGTTTTTACCATACACACTTAAAAGCATAAATTCGAATATAATAATCTGAATTAAACTCAAATTTCATAGCTTTGATTCATGTTACTATACAGGTGTGAGCACAGCTTAGTTTCCAAAAGGATACAATTCCCAAGTTGTGCTGACAACCTGTGAAGATGTGACAAAGATGAATTTACCTCCTTAACGTTCCCACAACTGACAGCAAATATTAAATATCAAAAACGTCATTTGAAAATTGAGAATCACTTCTCCCACTTCATGGAAAATACAAAACTTTCAACTTGGAATAGTTTTAAATAACCATGTGGCCATTTTGGTTTTTAGTATGGGTCATTGTTGCAACCCTCCTGGATCTCCCAGCTGGGTGGTGTTTGGAGGTATAGTTATAATATAATGTAAAACATTTAATATGTTCCACCCAAGGGGATTGCTCAGGTTCACATTCTGCTAATCAAAATTAAACATTAAGGCAATTTAAGACTGACCATTGTTTTTGCCCTCATCACCTGTTTGTATAGAATAAAACTACTGCAGAGGTGGAAAAAAAAAAAAAAGCATTCCCCACAGGAATCCCATTTTGATTTTTTTATTTTAAAAGCAATGGCAAATATTAAGCTATGGTCAGTAGTATCTCCTTTTCTGAAGCTTTATGAAACAGGGAAGAAAATCACCTTGGCCAGGTCCTCCTCTATGATATCATTGCGCATTTGTGCAGCGTCCAGCTGAGTGTAAAACCTAGCACCGATCATTGGCATGATGTCATTTACACTGCGCAGACGGTTTTGGTCTGTCAGTAAGTACCTGTAGATTTAGAAACATATGCAAGTACGGTCAATAACAATTTCCATTAAAAAAAAAAAAAAGTTAGGACATATCAATTTTAGGAGTGTAGCCAATACATGACACAAAAAACAGAAGTAACTTTCCTACATCAGTTTCCAAGCAGAACTATACTGATGAAATATTGAAATATGAAAAATGCAATATTTTCGATCTAATCTAACTACATTGTGCTTGAGATTTTCAGACTGAAATGTAACGTCTGATCTTCATTTCATACTTTCCCTGCAACCTACACATGCCTAAATCACACAACAATTCTCCAGGGTAAGGTGAGATGCATGTACACCTTATTAAATAGTCTAAGTAGGCTGAAGTGGACTGTTCTCTCCACTGCCTGTGAACCTAGAGTAACACCCCTGGAAATGTTTGCTTGCGTAGCAGAGTTTGGTAGATCAGGTAACAGGACTTTGGCACCATAAAACAGGTCTTAACATACTGCATCATGCATGCGTTGACACGTTTACAACATGCTGCAGGGCATGGTAACGGCCAAAGCACTACGTTACCCAAGCACTGCAGGTGTAGTGCAGTCCAGTGAGGGAATTTGCATCCCAATTAAATGCATGGGCTGGCATGGTGTGAATGAGCCCTTGCTGTTAAAGCCAGCTACGTTAAAGTAAAAAGCTAGCCACAAGGCAACAAGCAAGCCTTACAAAATAAGATTTTTTAAGTCAGAGGAATAATTGATGTTCACAAGTTCCATGGCTTTCTGCAGATTCTCCCGCTGAATACCCGCCAGAGAGTTGCAGGATAATGCCAGTACCACTTTTCCCAAGGAGATCAGGTCAGCTTGCTGAAAGAAAACCAATATACTGGATAAGTCCTAAAAGGAACACTGACATTTTTACAAAAATGATACATTTTTTTTAGGTTTTATATAAAAAAAAAAAAAAAAAAACAAAAAAAAAACAAAACAAAACCATTTAAATTTTCCATATACTATAGAAATTAGTCCCGTCAGGGTTTTTTGTGTCTACATGCCATAGGGATAGAAACACTGGGGTTTCAGCTGTCTTGAGCCACTTTAGGCGTCGGATATGTGGCTGCACAATTATAAAAATGCCAAGGCATATTTTCTCAATTTATTGGAGCTCAGGTAGTTTATAGTTGGGGAAATTTTACAGCACGTAAAGAATGGTTACATACTGCTTTAAGACTACTAGCACTTAGTTTTGCAGAGTAAATATGACCGAATCAGAAGAAAATTGGTATAAGCAAGAAAGCTGCTGAAAATGTAGAACTACGCACAGAATAGAACAGTATATAGCAAGGCATAGTATTAAAGGACTTACTTGATACTGAGGCATCAGAGCAACAGGATTACTCTGACTACCATCATAGGTTAAAACATCAAAGATTCCAGCACAGTTGACATGTAACCTTAAAGGGGGGTAAACAAACGGTAAAAACACATTGAACTTAAAGAGTAACATTGCAGGGATTTCAACTGTCTGACATTCCTGATATGCATATGCCAGCTACAACTAAAACTTTTATATTTAGATCAGTAATGGCAGTCCCCATGCTTCTCTGGAAAGGTTCACTTTAAGCATAGCAATGATGCAGCATTGAAGAGATCAGCGAGGAATTCATTAGTATTTCCAGATAAACGCATGTACCACTAGGAATGAAGGATTCCCTATCGATTTCAGAATCCCTGATCCATGAAGAAAATCCTCCAGAGTTACCCTGGTGCAGGGGTGGACTGATAACTCATGGGGCCCCCAGGCAATAGGGGCTCATGGGGCCCCTGTGTCCTTGCCCACACTCAAAGCCTATATAATAAAAAAAAAAAAAAAAAAAAAAAAAAAAAAAAAGTACCAGGGGCATTTCATGGGCCCCCCCTACTGATCCTGGGCCCTCGGGCAGTGCCCAAGTGCTCGAATGGTCAGTCCACCCCTGCTGTGGTGCCAGCTGGCCAATCACCTACCTCTTTGCATAACACCAGAATAAGAGGTGAGCCAGAAAGGGAGATGAAAGTCCTGAATGACTGCTGAACTTTTTGGATGAAAAAAAAAAAAAAAAATCCTATAAAAACATTACAAAATTTGAGTCACAACATATATACCTGGTTTTCCCAGTGATGAGAATTTTAGACGGATCCATAACACGACATGCTAGTCCTGCTGTGTGAATGGTTCGCAATGCCGAGCTTAACTGGACAATATATGCCCAAATGAGGGATTCTGGTAACAATCCAGCATGTTGACGAGGCAATGGACCATCATGTTGGCCTGTAGAAATTTTAAAAGCTACATAAATACCATGCACATGCAAAATGCTATTGTGACTTCATCTAAACTGCACACGTTTATAAAGCAATTGAAATATGTAAAACAGCTCCACCAATGCCATCTTGCAGTGGCTTTGAAAAACCACCAAAATGGACAGCAGATTGCTGGTGACATGATGGGTCACGATAATCTTTGCTGAACTAGTACTTTTTGGGTCAGAAATATTAGGGTCCTACTTACAAATCTGATTCCTTGCAGTAGCACCTCATCACCACAGGTCTGGAGAATGAATATCTATATCCCTCAAAGTCAATTCAACTCTAGGGATATTGATCTGGTCAGTTAATTTCATTAACACCAAAGCAGCTGAAACTTGAAATTAACAACCCCCACTGCTACTAAACAGGTACACTAGTAGATGGGCAACAATGAGAGGACCCCCAAAAACAGGAATGTTTTACAGGTGACCCCCAAAAACAGGAATGTTTTACAGGTGGAGGCCACTGACATTTTTTCCCTACTCATTTTTTGACTTTGACCCTACCCAAATGCAAAAACTAGGGAAAGTGTCACTATTGGTAGCATGAGGAAATGCTCCTTTGTGCAAGGAAGAACAGGATAAACACTGCCAAAGCCCTACAAAATGACCTACAGAAGGCCTCCGGGGTGAATGTCTGACCAAACAATCAAACAGACTTCATGAGGGTGGCCTGAGGGCCCAACATCCTCTAGTGGGCCCTGTGCTCACTGCCCAGCACCATAGAGCTCGATTGGCATTTCCCATTAAACACCAGAATTGGCAGGTCCACCACTGGCACCCTGTGCTTATCACAAATGAGAGCAGGTTCACCCTGAGCATGTGACAGACATGAAAGGGTGTGGAGAATGTTATGATAACATTGTACAGCATGACCATTTTGGTGGTGGCTCAGTGATTGTCTGGGGAGGCATATCCATGGAGGGATGCACAGACCTCTACAGGCTAGACTATAGCACCCTGACTGCCATTAAGTATTGGGATGAAATCCTTGGATCCATTGTCAGACCCTACACTGGTGCAGTGGGTGGGGGTTGGTCCTGCTGCATGACCATGTGCCTGGCCTCGTTTGGAGAGTATGCAGGCAGTTCCTAGTGGATGAAGGAATTGATACCATTGAATAGCCCCCATGCTCGCCTGACCTAAATCCAATAGAACACCTCTGGGATGTCATGTTTCGGCCCATCAGATGCCGCCAAGTCGCACCTCAGACTGTCCAGGAACTCAGTGACCCCCTGGTCCAGATCTGGAAGGAAATACCTCAAGACACCATCTGTCTCATTAGGAGCATGCTCAGACGTTGTCAGGCATGCATACAAGCACGTGGGGGCCATACAAACTACTGAGTACCATTTTGAGTTGCTGCAATGAAATTGCAGTAAAAATTGACTACCTGCTTTATCATTTTTTCAGTCATCTGCAGGTCGATTTTCATTTCCATCAGACACCCCAAAAATCAAATGATAGGGCATCCTTACGTTCCTAATATATTACCTAGTCCATATCAGTATAGGATATCCTGCATGATATTTTTCCCTATTGAGATCTGATGTGTTTTCAAAGTGTTCCTTTAATATTCATTAAGGGTTTGTTTACACCTGCCTTGCTCTGAAGGTGCATTTGCAGTAGAGTGCTTTTCACAGCAGTGTAGGCACTAACTGCCACCTCTCAAATGCCTCTTACAGCTGAACGCAGCCATACTCCTACATAGCACAAGGGAGCATAATCTCTGCCATGGCACAAAGCATAGTGGCCGTGGCATGTGTACACACCAATCCAGCTGCCTTAACCTTGAGGGGAGCAGAAAAAAAAATGCAGCACGGCCATTTTACTGCACCCCCCCCCCCTTGCAAACAAGAGCAGATCTGGCAGACAGCTCTCCTTCATAGATAGTTGGGAGCATTCAAGTGTTAACACCTCCCCTCAGTAAAGTGCTGAATTGTATTGAATGCAAAATTTAAAAACCTATTTGCTATTGGCTGTGGCAGGTGAACAGAGAAAGGAATAAATGGAAGTAGATATCATAGCCACAACTCCTGACAAATGCATGATGCCAGTAGGAGTAAAACCACTAATACCTGGCAAAAAAATTAGATTGAATAAAACCACCATAATGGCAATTGTGACTTGGGTAGATCATTAAGCTATATTGACATTACCCCACTTTCTCTTGGTAAAATAGCCATCTGCACTGGGATCATTAAAATGCCTGCTCATCATGGTCTCCGCTCCAGCATGGAAGTCATATGCAAAAACCAAGGCTTGAAGAAGAGGAAGAGGGGAAAAAAAAAAGGGAAAAAAAAAAAATATATAAGAATATGAACTCCTATAAATCTTTTTCACTAAGCAGATTACACAAGATTTTTTTTTTTTTTTTTTTTATAAAAAGCATAACCAAGGTAAAATTTTTACATATGCAGCTAAACCTACTTTGTTTGAAGCTGTTCAGCAAAATTGAATTTACACGCATGCTGCTGTTGCCAAAATGTCAAGAGCTGTCTATACAGGCTCTCACAATGTTTCGGTAACAAACTGACATCACAGTACAGACAGGCTTTTGCTTGCATCAGAACTGCTTCTCTCCCCTTACCAGTCCATGGGAATGCAAAAGCAGCCAGATGCAGGCTACATGAAGGTTAGGAGGAGGTCAGCTGCAGGTGAAATACACCTGTCCGTGAAATCTGAATGATATCAGAAATGTCAAGATGCATTTGTCCACTGACAAGCCCATACATGGTGCCCAGTACAATTTTATTATGCAGTCCATAATTCCTTGCACTGGCCAACTGTTGTGTAGAAGTGTTCATTTTTGGGTACACTAAAATAACAGTGCTAAAGCAGATTAGTTATACATTAAATCTTGCTGTGAAACACAAGGATGCTAATTGTTTGAGGACACTGTACTAAACGTTTTATAGAAGCATTGAGAACAAGCTTGTGCATTTATATAAAAGCATCATGCAATAGGATTGTTAAGTGCCTGAAAATATGTTGGGGGTGAAATTCCAAGCATTTTCTTGTACCCAGGGAGCCACAATCAGCATGCCATACAAATTAATAGCAGCACACAGCTGTACTCAAGTAAACACTGACGTTTTGCAGTTGTGAAATATGTTGCACGAGTAAACGCCCATGCAGAGAAGCATCGGCATTTAGAAGCGTATGCCTATTTAAAAGCCATTTACTATCTGTGCACATGAGGCCTTAAAGAAATTCAGAACTGAAAACAATTGTAAAGGCTTACCTGGTCTGTGCCATGGTTTTGCACAGAGCAGTCCCAATCTTCCTCTTCTTGGGTCACCTGATGGCGCTCTTTGCCCCCTTCCCTCTTGCCGAGTGCCCCCATAGCTCCCGCTCACTCTGGAGGCACTTGTGCATGCTCGCTCCCAAGCCACCTCAGTGTCCATAAGAGAACACAGGTCAGCTCTGCCTCTCCCCCATTGGTTGCAATTGACAGCAGTGGGAGCTAATTGCAGCCGATGCGGTGTCTCAGCCAATGAGGAAAGGGAGACCTGGGAGACCCTGTGCTCATTGCTGGATTGAGATGGGTCTCTGGTAAGTATTTAGAGGGGGCTGCTGCTAGCAGAAGGTTTTCTATCGTAATGCAGAGAAAGCGTTAAGGTAAAAAAACCTTGAGCCTTTACAACCACTTTAAATTTGTATATAGCTGTGCCTTTAAAATTGTTATTTGAAAAACAAACACATACAGCAAGAAGCTACCTGCAGGCAAAGGATGCTTTTTGTTCTCCATTTTTGTTAATAGTGGAGGCATCCTCCTGGCGCATGTGCAGTCCTGACAACATTCTGGTATCTATAAAAAGGTTAAGGAGCAAGTAGCTCAGTGCCAAACTGACAATGCAGTGCTCACAGGACTTTCTCCCTTTTGTCACATGTGGGCAGGGCCGGTAAAGTGTAATCAGAAAGCCCTGAAGAAAAAAAAAAATGGCAATGCCGTTACAGAGGCAAGTGGGACAGGGTGCGTGGGGCAATGGAGCCTTAACAGTGCAATTCTACAGGTTAATGTAGAGATAGCCAAATTTAGTGCACTGTAAATGTTTCCAAAATGGTTTCAAGTGCATTTGGTCCACATTAAACATTTCATATTTTCTAAGGTATTATGACCAGGACCAGTTCAGTCATGTCAACAGCAGAATTGGCCTCACAGGTCTGACAAACAACCTTGTTTTTTCTGTGCACACAACTTAAAAGCTCAAAGTCCCCAGCACAATTAATCAATTTCATTAGAAAGGAACACTGATAAAAAAAAACTTACAATGCTCTCCAAATGCTTTGGTTGTAAACATTTCTCGTAAGGTAACGATATTCGAATGTTGGACTTTTTTCCATGTATCCACTAAAGACATGCATTTTGTGTTCACCAGACGAAAGCCTAAGAAAAAAAAAAAATTCAGCACTGGAGAATGTGGAAAAGGCTTAGAGTTGGATTAGGATCAGGGGCGGACTGACCATTTGGAAAGTGGCACTGCCCGAGGGCCCAGGGTCAGTAGGGGGCCCCCATGAGATGCCCCGGTACCTTTTTCATAGGCTTTTTTGAGCTTGGGCAAGACACAAGGGCCCCATGATCCCCTATTGCCCAGGGACCCCATGAGTTGTCAGTCCGCCCCTGATTAGGATATAATAGTAACCGCAACAGTGATACAAAATCTAAAAGGCTCCAGACCCTGAAGTGTGTCCAACAGTGTGTTATTCTTTGAGAGTTTTTCCCCCCCTTACTTTGTCCTTTTATTGCACCAATCACCGAGAAGATTTCCCCTTGAATCCCACACACACACACACACACAAAAACCCCACACACACACACAAAACACACACACACACACACAAAACCCCACACACACACACACACCCACACACACACACAAAACCCCACACACATCACTCTGGCTGGAGTGTTTCATGTGTACTCTTTGAACAACAATACTTTCCTGGCACTATACAGATGAAACTGCTGGGAACACAGCCTTAGGCTATTGCTGCTCATTTTCACCTAGGTTAACCTCTTGAAGCCGACGTAACACAAATATGCGGCCTCACAGAACTGGGCTGTGGGGACACATTTGTGTACCCGTCTTTGTGCTGGGAGCGCTCCCAGCACAAAGACCACAGTTTCACAGAGCACCGGGTTCTGTTCTAACAAAAAAAAATATATATATATATATATAAATTCACCTGGATGTACAAATTTGTGATGATATGTACGGTTTTACTAACACATGTAAATGTTTAAAAATTGTGCTTGGGCATTTAGATTTGTTTTACCCTTAGGCGTGAAGGGGTTAAACAAGCTTGGTATATCCAAAGTGAATAACTATTACTGGTAAACTAGGCTGGGTTAGTTCCCAAATCTTTTGTACTGCAGAAGACACTAGGCTGTGTACAGGATATCAGCTTCTATTAAGTCGCTTCAGTAGATAAGACTTGTTCACTTTAGGCCCCTTTCACATGAGTGCACTGATCGGGTCTGCTTATCAGTTTTTCAGGCGCATCAAATCGGACCACCCTTTGCTCTCTATGGGGAGGCAGATAAAAACCAGACATTTTTGTTTCCATGTATATCCGCCTGCATCCAATCTACCAAATACATTTTGGCTGGGGATACGTTTACCATCCATCTAGCATATTGAATGACAGTAGATGTAATTATGGGCCAGTGGGATGTAAGCAGCCTGTCCAGAGAACAGCGTTTGACATATCTGTCTGCTCTGCTTGTGCAGAGCAGACACAACATCCACCTGCTTAGTGGGGATCAGCAGATAGGTCCCCCGCTGAGCAGGTGGATCAGCTTGGAGGGGTCCTTAACTTCAGAAGGAAGGGCTTTAAATTAAGATTATAAAAAGGCAAGAGTGTGAAGGACAGCATCACAAATTTGGTGTTCTGATACCATAAACTGATTGTAAAAGCACAGGGGGGGAAAGGGAAGGGTACCATTTCCACCCATCAGGTGGTGTCAATTAACCCTGAAACATTTAAAACAAGTTGCATAAATTTACCTCAAAAGGTAAACATTGCTAAGTAGCACATTCTCACCATGAACTCTTCTCAGACAGTAGGTCAGATCATCCTTGTTGTTTACAGCTTTGTAGCATGATGTAATGTATCCAAAGTTGCTTGTCTTATGTATTCGGTTAGGAGGGGGCAGTGGTTCCAGTGGAAAAAGGCTGTGGTAACTGTCAACCTCTGCAGGTACACCTATTAAAAGTCAAACAAAAAGAAACTCAGCCATTACTGCAACAAACCGTATTTTTGGTATACTTCATAAATTCTGAACTTCTCAAAATAAAAAATTCCGGGTTGCCACATTACAGCAAGGCAATGTCAAAAGCTGAAACCCCAAAAATTCATAAAAAGCAATATTGCATAGATGTAGTAAAATAGTTTTTTTTTGGCCAAGACACTTTAGGCTAGATTCACACCTGACCGTAGCAGGATCTCACATTCCACCTCCTTGTGCATAGGGCAGGTCAGTCACTCGAACAGGCTGCATGACAAATGCTCCAAAGAAGCTCCGGAAGCTTTGAGGGGAGCGTAATGAACTGTTTCACACCACACTTCTACACAGCAAAGTGTGCGTTTTCATTGCACTATGCCAATCATTCCAGAAGCACCAGGTGTAAATGGAGCCTTTAAGCCATTGCAATTGTTTCATTGAATCGGAGAATGAAAATTGTCAGTAATTCTGTTACTCATGTTACAAAATCAAAAAAAATTAAATCCTCGACCAAGGCCTCATGCACACAGTGTTTGCCCAGCTTTTACCACCTTTCCGCTGGCAGGAGAAAAGCAGCACCAAAGCACTTTAGCATTTAATTGGGCATTACGGCCATTGAAATGAATGGACACCTTTGGGTGTGTCAGACATTTTTTCCTGCCAAAATGCTGCCGCTTATGAATGCCATGACAGTGAGTTTTTTTTTGGTCTCAAACACCTATGTGTGCATGAAGAAGAAGAATACTGGAGAAACTTACCTGGCATATCTGCTTGATCAATCTGAGCCATTGTTATTAAGTGACGATTAATTAACTCCTAAAGAGAAAAAAAAAAAAAAAAAAAAAAAGAAGCTGGGTAACACTGGCACCAAAAGGTTTTATTCTCTGCAAATACGCAAGTTTTTTTTTTTTCTAATACGCTCAATATTTTTTCTGGTTGTTTTTGGGAAATAGACGTATGAGTGCTGCCAGCACTGCTGCAGAGGTTGAAGGGGTGGGGTGGTGTTGGGGGGGTGAGGATGGGCTGTCAGTGCTTAGACCATAAGCTGCACACTGCATCAAATTGGTCTGCATTGCTGTCGTCCCAGAAGGAAGCCTCTTCTAAATCTGATGCACAAGAAATCCCGCAAACAATGTGCTGAAGATAAGCAAACCAAGGACATTACTGGAACCATGTCCTGTGGTCTGATGAGACCAAGATAAACTTATTTGGTTCAGATGGTGTTAAGCGTGTGTGGCGGCAACCAGGTGAGGAGTACAAAGACAAGTGTGTCTTGCCTACAGTCAAGCAAGGTGGTGGGAGTGTCAGTCTGGGGCTGCACGAGTGCTGCCGACACTGGGGAGCTACAGTTCAGTATGTCACAGTACATGTTGGCATTCATGGTTCCCTCAATGAAGAGCATGATCCCCTCCCTTTGGAGACTGGGCCACAGGGCAGTATTCCAACATAACAACCCCAAACACACCTCCAAGATGACCACTGCCTTGCTAAAGCAGCTGAGGGTAAAGGTGATGGACTGGCCAAGCATGTCTCCAGACTTAAACCCTATTGAGCATCTGTGGGGCATCCTCAAAACAGAAGGTGGAGTGCAAGGTCTCTAACACCAAACAGCTCTGTGATGTCGTCATGGAGGAGTAGAAGAGTGCTCCAGTGGCAACCTGTGTAGCTGTGGTGAATTCCATGTCCAAGAGGGTTAAGGCAGTGCTGGAAAATAATGGTGGTCACACAAGATATTGACACTTTGGGCCCAATTTGGATATTTTCACTTAAGTGTGTACTCTTATTGCCAGCGGTTTAGACACTGGCTGTGTGTTGAGTTATTTTGAGGGGACAGCAAATTTACACTGCTACAATGTAAAGTAATGAGTGTACAGCTTGTATAATTTCTTCAGTGTTGTCACATGAAAAGATAAAAATATTTACAAAACTGAGGGGTGTACTCACTTCTGAGAGATATTGTAGGTTAACAGAATAATCCCCTCCCCCCAGCAACATACAGTCACCTGAGGAAACCTACCAGGGCACCCCATTCCATAATGAAAGGCCAATCCGTACCCATCCTGGCAGGCATGCCACTAGGGACATGACTCCCCAGATGGGGGATCAATGCCCTGGAACTGTAGAGCACTCTGCAACATACAAATGGACAGGTGTGTCCATTACAGGGTCCGGGTACCATTTCTCTTGACAGGAAATCTTAGGCTACTGATCTGGATAATGTAGTTATTCTTTAAAAAAAAAAAAAAAAAAAAAAAAAAACCCCGTTCTTGCGTTCATTGACGGACACAACGTCTTTAACCTTAATGAAGCAGGTATGTCCCCAAGCAGTGCCAGAATGAGAGGGCAACCAAAGTAAAAAACCCCAGGGCAACAGGCCGCTACTCCAAACGACCCCAAAATGGGAGGCCCAGGAGCCCTAAACAGCCACCTACAAACACTTGGTCAAAACTAGCATCAATTTTAAATAACTTCGTAAACATGTGTACAGATGACCAGGTAGTCACCTTGCAAGCCAGAGAAACAGACGCCCAATTTTGGAATGCCCAGGAGGTGTTAACCACCCTAGTGGAGTGCGCCGTAATCAGGAAGGGAGGCTCCGGTCCCTTACCAGCATATGCCTGAACCACCATTTGCCGAATCAAATGAGAAATGGTGGTAGAAGATGCCATCAGGCCCTTCGGACCATCCCCCAAAGACGAAGAGAGTCTGACCTCGAAAAGGCAGCAGTTACAGACAAGTACACGTGAGTCGCTCGGACCACATCCAGGGAATGCAAAGTCACCTCTTTAGGATGAGTCTGTCGAGGACACAGTAAGGGAAGAACATCCTCAAATGAAAAATTGACCACCACCTTAGGCAGAAAGGAAGGGGAAGGTCGAAGCACCACTTTGTCCTGTAAGTTGCCTTATATATGGTTTTACACAAGAACAAAGTTGCCAACTCCGACACTCTCCGAGCTGAAGTGATAGTGAAAAAGGCAACGAAAGCATAAAACAAGATTTACCGAATGGCCTCAAGTGGAGACCTGGTCATAGTGGGATTTGAATTTGGTGCTGTCTGCTCTGCAAAGGGGAGTGCACAGGGACCATGTGACGAACCCCCTGAATGAAAGTATGAGCCAAAGAATGCATAGTTCAGGACCGCTGAACGAAAAACAGCCAGAGCAGGGTCTTGACCCTTGACTGTACTCAACGTAAGCCTTTGATGCACACCCCATTCGAAGGCCAATACCCCAGCCACAACAAAGGAACACAGATGGAACCCCAAGGCTTCACACCAATATAGACTCAAGGTGTGAAATCTTCCAGGAGGTAAACTTAGGGCCTTCAGCATAGCAAGAATCACTGAGCCAGAAAAAAAAAAACCTGTTCTTCAGAACTTGGCTCTCAATAGCCAAGCCGTCAAAGCAAGAGACTGTAAAGCATGTGGAAGACCGGCCCTAGAGACAGATCTCTACGAAGAGGCAGCCTCCAGGGAGTAAACCGCACCATGTCAGCGTACCACGGACGATGAGGCCAGTCTGGAGCAATGAGACTGGGATCCCTTCGGCCTCTATCCAGCAGTAGATGAGGAATCAGTCAAAGGGGTGGGAAGGTGTAGATGAGTGTACTAATCCCATGGTGCCACCAGCGTATCTGCTGCGTCCACCAGGGGATCCAATGATCGTGCCACAAACCGTAGAACCTTTTGATTGAGGCGGGAAGCCAGAAGATCCATGTGCAAGTCCCCGGGCAAATGCAGAGCTGAAGCAACACTTCCGGATGTAGGGACCACTTGCCCTGATAGAGCGTCTGACGGCTGAGATAATCTGCTTCCCAGTTTGATGCCTGAATGTGTACGGCAGACAGAGCCAAAATTAAACTAACCAAGGTCCTGGCCTTATTGAGACAACGGATCACATTCTGCAATGGGCAAACACCCGAGGTTTAGAGGCCAGACCAAAATAGCAACACCACGCATTGATAATGACCGTCCGACGGCAAAACAAAGAAACGCTGATGCCCCTCTCAAATGGGGATGAGCAGGTAAGCGTCCTTGATGTCTGAGGCGGCCAGGATTCCATCTTGAACTTGTACACATGAAGACATTTAAGGCCTCGAGGTCCAGGACAGGGTGAACACCATACCCCTTGGGAACAGTGAACAGGTTGGAGTAGAAGCTGCAAAAAAAAAAAAAAAAAATAAAAAAACCTCCAAATCAGGTACTGGGACGACCATTCAACGGAGCAGCAGTTCCTGCACAGCCCGTACAGGGCTTGCAGGCGACCTGGCTTGTGCCACCTGCAGGGGCCTTAAAGGGTCTGGAGCCCTTGGCTGCAGAGCCAGAGGGGAGAAAAACTGATATAATCGGGGGGGGGGGGGGGGGGGGTGATGGTTCTACTTACCAATTCAGCAGAGCGTGCATGTGAAGCTCCCATGGCAGACCCTACTCTCCACTGAAGTGGGGGGCTGTCGACCAGGGGTACACTGACACGTACCAGTGCCCGGTAATATGCGTCCCCACGAGGCGTTTAACTCGCTGGAAACCCTGGTCCATGGGGCATGGTCACAGTTGACCAAGTGCAGAGCTGGTTGTCTGCGTGCACTTGTTGGTCAGACTGGGGTGACCACTGGATCTAGATTATCCAGCCCAACTGTTGACTGAAGATCTCTGCAGGAACAAGTCCAGGAAAAAGAAAAAGGAAAAGCTGTGGGACCACAGATCCCAGTAAAGCTTCACATCCATACTCTTGAGACACTAGGCAGGAAAGACTGGAGACATACATCAGAGGGGGTTTTATACCCAGAGAGGACTGCCCATAGGAGGTGCAAAGTCATTTTTTTGCCTAGTGTCATACTCCTGTAGGCGGGGCTATAAAACCCTGCTTTGCTAGGGTTAAAGAAGACGCTGTGTCCATCAATAGACGCAAAGAAAAAAAAAAAGTGGTTAAATGGAACCCATTTAATACAGTAACAAACTATTAATTTACAAATTATGTTTTTTGGCATGAATTTAACTTGTTCATAAACTATGTAGGGGTTGAAATAGTTCAGTCTCAGCGTTTGCTGCCAATACACGACTAAGCAGGGCAATAACGTCACAATTGGATCCATAGCAGACTGATACACCAAAACCCTAAAAAAGGCGTGACGGACGCTATATTCAGTGAAGCTCAATGTACGAAAGAAAAAAAAAAAAAATAATGGCTTGGGAGCAAAGAACAAAATACCCAACAAGCTCTTTCACCTGCTACAAGATCTGGGGCCTTCCAGAACCTCACAGCCTCCACAGACAGTCCAGCCAAAAAAAGCCTAGGAACCTGAACACATTACTATCAAGGCCCAAAAGAGAAATTCCTCCAACTGCTTTCCATCGCCTGACTCATTCTCCATGACGAAGGAACTCTCTACTCTCTCCACCCCCACCTGAGGAGCAGCAGGAGGGTAAATGTCACTCATTTGGGAAACACCTTGAGATTGCCAATCACTTCAAAAACAAAATTGACAACAATTTTAACATGCAAGGACATTGCTCGCAACTCACACGCCCTCCAGAGGTAAACCCGTCCCTCTTATCAGAACAGCTACCCCCTGAATCCCCCTCAATTGAATAATTCACCCGCAGGACTTTGTCACTGCTCAAACTCCCTCCGACCCGTTCCCCTAGAGATAGCAGCTACCCCCAACAAGCATCATGACCAATCTCCCACGGCAAGCTGCCCCTTGACCACTGCTCTTATCACCCTCATGTTGCGCACTCCCACCCCAACCCTACATTCCTCATACTGAAGCTCCCCCAACACTCCACACCTTTGACCTTACAAATACCATTGAGGAAGTCTCCAAGATCCTCTCTGATGCCCGCCTCACCACCTGCCCCCTCGACCCTATCCCTCACAATTCCTACGACCTCCCTGCCCCCCTCCATCCTACGCTCCCTCACCCACAATCTTTAATCTCTCCCTCTCTCCGGTACTTTCCCCTCCCCATTCTGAAGCATGCACACATCACCCCCATTACTTATAAAAAGCCCTCCTGGACCCCAATGACCCGAACAACCTCAGACCCATCTCTCCCTGCTCCCACTTACATCTAAACTCCTCGAGCGTCTCGTCTACACCCGCCTATGCTCTCACCTCAACGACAACAACCTCCTGTCGATCCCCTACAGTCTGGCTTCCGCCCCCTACCCTCTCCACCGAAACCGCCTTACTCAAACTCTCCAATGACTGCTAACCCCCAAAGCTAATGGCCACTATTCAGTGCTCCTACTCCTTGACCTCTCTGCGGCCTTCGACACAGTTGACCACCCCCTCCTCCTCAAAAATACTACACCTCCCTCGGGCCTCAGAGATTCTGCTCTCTCCTGGCTCTCATCCTACCTGTCACAACGCTCTTTCTGCTAGCGTTACCTATAATGCTACACCTCCCCCTCACTCCCCCTCTCTGTTGGGGTCCCTCAATGGCTCTGTCCTTGGGCCCCTTCTCTTCTCCATCTACACCTTCCTCCCTTGGCCAACTCATCTACACTCTCACGGCTTCAACTACCACCTCTATGCGACGACACACAAATCTATCTCTCAACCCCCCACCTCACCCCCTTCGGTCTCTGCCCAAATACACACACCTACTGTTTGCGACATATCAGATTGGATGTCGCTCCACTTCCTTAAACTGAATTCTCTCTCAAAAACCGAGCTCCTTGTCTTCCCCCAGCCCGAACCCCACCCCCCATTGACTTCTACATCACATCCAAACAACGCCAATATCAAACCCGCTCTGCAGGCCAGAGTACTTGGTGTCATTCTGGACTCCAACCTATCCTTCCAGCCCCCAAGTCCAATCTTTAACAAAAACTCGTGCAGAACTCCACCTCCGCAACATCGCCAAAATCCGCACGTTCCTAACCCCAGAAACCACTAAACAGCTCATCCACTCCCTCATCATATCACGACTCGACTACTGCAACTCCCTCCTCACTTGGCCTGCCTCGCTGCTGGCTATCCCCGCTTCAGTCGATCACTGAATACGGCTGCCAGACTCATTCACCTTTCCAACCGCTCCATTTCCGCCACCCCCCTCTGCAAGTATCCCTCCACTGGCTTCCGATTGCGCAACGGATCAAATTTTTAAAATCCTAACACTGACGTACAAAGCTGTCCACCATACTGCCCCGAACTACATCACTGACCCTAATATCCAAAGTACCGCCCAGCACGCACACTCCGCTCCTCACAAGACTCACCCCTCTCTAGTTCCCTGGTCTCCTCCTCCCATGCCCGCCTCCAGGACTTCTCCAGGGTGTCACCCATCCTCTGGAACTCCCTGCCCCAACCCATCAGATTATCACCTACTCTCCTCTCCTTTAGGCGCACCCTGAAAACCATCTCATTTCAGGGAAGCCTACTCACCCCTGCTAACTTGCTGACCTCCTCCACTCTTCCTACCACTCCATCCCCCCAAGCTATCTCCTCCTGTACCACTATCCCATCCCTTCTAGATTGTAAGCTCGAAAGAGCAGGGCCCTCGATCCCCTCATGTTTTGCATTGTATTGGTATTGTTCTGTCACATGTTCTGTCCCCCTTTGTAATGTACAGCGCTGAGTGAACTATTGGCGCTTTATAAATACTGTATAATAATAATAATAATAATAATAATAATAATAATAATGTAGGGATTGAAATAGTTCAGTTCAGCGTTTGCTGCCAATACACGACTAAGCAGGGCAAATAACGTCACAATTGGATATAGCAACTTTACAGGGGAAAACCTTGCTAAAAAGGGATGGCGTGGACAGCTATATTGCAGATGAAGCTCATGTACGAAAGAAAAAAAAAAAATAATGCACTTGGGAGCTTAAAAAGAAATAAAGGTTACAAGCCAAGGGGAGAACCTCTGGGAAAACAAAAATTGGAAAAAGATCTGGGGGCTCTAGATGACAGACTCAGCAATAGCATGCACAGAACAGTCCAAGTCATTGAAAAAAGGGGTGTTGAAGGAACCTTGAGAAGGCACATTACTATCATTTAAAGAAAAACTCACAAAAGAAATTCAGTAAAGACTGCTTTCGGACATACCTGCCTGAGCTCATCGGCCATGAAGAAGGAAGGTGCATTTGCTTTTGGCTGCATGTAAGCCACATGAGAGAGCAGCAGGAGGGTAAATGTGATAATTTGGGAACACCTTTTAGAAAGAAAAAAAAAAATGCCTAGCATTAAAGGACTCATCAGACAATACTAGAGATAGCAGGGCTGTATTCCTTCCCAACAAGAATGCAGAACAATTACACACCTTTCAAGCAGCTGCCCCTTGACCACTATTACATTGTTTATCACCACTCATGTGCGCACACCAGTTCTCATGACAAGCTTTGATTGCTTCTGACATGTTTTTAGCCTATTCATGGACGAGGGTAAAAAAACCCTTAATGCCCAGACCCAAATAGGCATGGGTTTGTAAAACTGTACATGTGATCACAACTACATTGTGTATCCAGGTGGGTTATACCTTAGTTTACCACCAAAAGAAAACCCAATTTTGATCTGAAAATAACATCCCTTTTTTTAATCATATGGAAAATTGGCTCAAAATAGCAATGTACAGCCATTTTTTTTTTTTCACCAATACCATAACCTACCAAAAAAACAACCCAAAAAATAATAATTCTCCTGCTCCTGACAATCGCAGTATCACGTTTATTTGTATGTTCCCCATTCTTGGTAATTTTCCTTTATATTTTCGATCCCCAAATTGATTTTACTGTTGTGGGTTTAGTAACACTTTAACAGTCTGTATATGCAGTAAAGCATGCTTTTTATACTAAATGTAATCTATGGGGTTAATCCTCAGCATTGTGTGAAAAGGCTGTTTGATCCTGACTTCTCTGATCCTCCCCTTCCAGTGGCCCCCCCTCTTATCTCCTGATAAGACATTGGGTGGAGTCACTCTGCACATGCTCAGTTTAGTGTGTATTGCTAGGGTTTTTTTTTCCCTTGGGAGAGTGCATGTGATCCAGCACAGGGCCAATTTGCACTGTCCAAACAGAGGTCAGGGGTTCTGCATCCTAAAGAAAGAAAGCTCCTACAAGCTAACATTTTCTCAGCTCGACACTGAGTCAAGACTGCTCTAACTGCTGAGAAAAGGTATTTAGCCGTTTATATTTACTAAAATAATTGCATTTCAATGTTCTGTGTACTGCGGGAGATCAGATATAGTGATTGCAGGGTCCTGGATTTAGTAACCCTGCATCGCTCTTCTAGCAGGAAGAAAGATGTTAAAATGCATCTCTCTAGAGAAAACAGGGGTGAGCTACACAGCGACTCATCACCAGTTGACCAGGTACCAGGAGTGCCAAGTCCCAATCATTCGTAAGAGACCTGGTGCTTTTGGTGGGAGTGCACTGGAGCACGCTCCCCAGCACAAAACCCATGCAGTGCCAAGGTTTAAAGCCTACCTCCTAGATACTGCATATACCTGTTACTGAGTTATGGGGTTTAAAGGGCACTTTAAAGAGCAGCCTGTCAAAAAAAAAATCCACACCACAAACAGGCAGCTGCACAAAAGGAAAATACTGACCTCCTCTCCAGCAAGTGTCAGTTTTTTGCTCTTTAACTTCTGCCATCTGTCACTTCTGGGGTGTGTAAGATAGATTGTGGTCAGCAGGAGGAAGCACAGTGACTAGCAGCAGAGTCCTGTACTGATGCAGCAGCCAGCAAAATATACCACAGCACCCTAGAAGGGGACATAATCTAGCAGTGGTGAGGCTACCTCTCACACAGAGCCCTGGAGAGAGAAGTATGCATTCTCTATTATAGGGTGCGACTGCCTCATGTTATTGGGTGGGCGCTGTGGAACAGTAGAGCACATTAAAAGGCCTTTACTGCCAAACTAATCTTAGAGTTCATACTTCGCGCATTTTCATGAATACATTGAAAGCAGTATTCTGATCCTCAGACCTTCCAACTAAAGAAAACTGGAGACTCATAATTAGTACTGTCCTCTTACCCTAGGTTCACACCTAAGCGGTTTCCACAGCGTTTTGCAGAAACGCAGCACAGTCCATTTAACATTATTGCCTATGGGACATGTTCACATCTGCACATTTTTCACCCAGTGCATTTTTTGGAAAGGGTCAGGGACTTTTTTTGAACGCAAAAATAGCATTTTTGGCTCTATAGTCTTCAATTGAAACGCTGCAGAAAAGCATGTAGTGCATCTTTGCTGCATTTTACATCTGTCTAGCAAGAGAAAAAAAAAGGAAGAATATTTAAAGTGATATTGCTTTATGCGCATACCATTCCCGTGAGAGGTGCTGGAGTGGTGTCCGTGTAGAAATAGGTGGTTCCCCCAACAGTCTCCTTCTGGATAACCTGTCCTGCAGATGGGGGCTGAGAAACGGAGTTAGTAACTGGTGTTGAGGCACTAGTCGGCACCATGTAAGTAGCTGGGTTGGGTGTGTGACTTCGCCGCCGTGGGGCAGGAGAAGTATGTGGTGTGATATTAGGGGAATGCAGAGGGGAGGACCCAGCAGACAGCGACATCCCTAAGAAAAAAAACACATGGTCTGAGTCAATCTTACAGTAAAAATTGAAATCCCACATTTAAAAACCAAAACAAAAAAAACAGCAATAAAAAAATAAAGGGATTACAATAAGTAATAGACTGTCTTCTTACATAGGACCATTCTTAAATTTTTTTATCTACATACGGCAACTTTCACCTGAACCACACTAGACTATTTTAAAGTTAATTTTCATAATAAAAAGTGCATGTAAAATTGAATCATCTGGACAAAACACTGATACAGGAATATTACTTCACTTGTTCTCTGCGAAACACAATATAAAATCATCCACCAAGCCCATTATACTTTCTCATTTAATTTGGCTGTTGCTGCTCGCCCAACATGTCCATGGTGTGACTACACTCGTCCAACACTCGTCTCTAATGCACTGCAGAACTCAATCCCAGAAAGTAATCAATTATACAAACGTCTCTATTTCAAAGGATCCCCATGCTTGGTCTCTTCAGTTACCAAGACCCTGTAAAGACGGAACCTCCTAACACTCTTCCCCAATGGATACATCCAAGGCGCTTCATGGAGCATTCCTTTACACCTGCTAATTTAGCTGCTCATATGGAACCCTTCCAATATTCAGATTGGTATCTCAAAGCTAAATTAACCAATACTTTGGGTAAACTTTAACTATCCAACTCCCCTTATAGCCCCACCCCACAGGTACCTTCCTCCCTATCCAACAGTGGAGTTCACACTCCTCATTAAGATTTCTAGCCAACACAATACTCTTCCTCAAATGTATTCTCCGATAAAGATGTTTTGTGCAGGCTTCCACAACCAAGCTTTCGTTCCTAGAAATTCTCAATTTTGGAGGTTGGGCTTTTTTTTTTTTACTGCCATGTTGTATAATTAATGTTTGTTTCTGACAAGGTTTCTTCCCCATTTCAATTGCTGTACTGACTTTTGTCTCTTTACATGTGATGGTTCATAGATTGTATGTCAAGATGTTCTCTTGTACTTGCATAAAATTCAATAAAAATATATTTAAAAAACAATCTGCATGTGATAGTTTACAGAGATGGTGTACATTCAGTATAAAACTTTTTGCAATCCCCTTAAAAAACACAAAAAACATGCATACCCAATAATGTAAAGAAAACCTAAGCAACAAAAAACCATTTCTCTCAACTAGTGGAAACTTCCAGTACTTGCCATTACAGATGGAACCGAAAGGACAGTTTTAGGGCATGACAGTAAAAGCCTGCCATAACTGCCATCTGCAAAAATGCTTATAAAAATAGCTCTCAGGGGACCATGACACAGCTGGGTCTGCAGGCACATCTGGCCAGGCTCATTGCAGCATCCTTTAAAGCTGAACACATGGAAATGAACCGTTCCGTTAATGTTTGTAGGTGTATGTAAACTTAAACGCTGGCTGTAGATGGATGAAGTTGTGGCCGGTTCAGCAGGATTTGGCCAAATTTCCATCCATCTATGGCTGCACCCCTTTATAAGTTGAGATCAACTTCTCATGAACAGGCTTGTTGGAAAATGTTGCTTTGATCGGCACAACTAGCAAATCGGTTGCAGTGTATTTCAACGATAGTGGGGAATCTTGCTGTCAGACTGATGACAGCAGGGAGGATTCCCACATCCACCTCAAATGGCCTGCTGGCTGAAACAAAAAAGCCATGCATGAAAAGCTAAAGTCATTACAAGCAAATATTACCTGAATCAGATATCCCCTGGTGGTGTTGAAAGGACCTCAACACCACCTTATCTTGGTGAAGAAATTGAAAAGGTTCCTCTGGGACTTGCTGAGTCCAAGTGTCTGCAAAAGCCAGTAGAATTACCCCAATTCACACAAGTGCCCCTTTACCGTGAGGAAGGTTTGTCTCCAGCACTGAAGACTCGAGTCCAATACTTATGGAACTGGGATGCAGGCTTCTGCATCAAGCCAGAGGCTGGTTGCTTAAAGGAGAGGTATAGCCAAAGTGAATTTTGGCTATACTTCTCCAGGGAACCACAGGAGTGCAGTTTGTGCTGCACTCATGTGACCAGTTGTCAAACAGTGGGCTAAAGCCTGCTGTCAGCTGACATCAGTGCTTGTCCAAGCTTTAAAAAAAAAAAAAAAAAAAAAAAAAAAAAAAAAAAAAAAAAAAAACCTCAGGTTTCACTCAGAATGTTGGACCAGCAGGTGGCTCATACTCACTCCGTGCACTGCTGAGAGCCTGAGCCAGCCACTTCCACCCCCTCACCAGCCCAGCGCTCCACTGAGTGTTGAAGCAGAGAGCCCACCACTCTCTGCTCGGAGGGGAGAGCTGAGTGATCAGCAGTGCTCATACAGTTCTCAGTCTTAGAGCATGTGGGGGACAGACGCAGCATCAGATGGATGCTGCATCCACATAGGTAAGTTTGTCTTTATTAACTCTTCCATTGAATCCAGAATGTGGCACTCATCGCCTTTGCCTTCTTAAAGTGTTACTAAACCCACAACAGTAAAATCAGTCTGTATATGCAGTAAAGCATGTTTGTTCTACTTGTGGAACCTAAGGGGTTAATACTCTTCAACAAGAGGGGTAGAGAGGCTCAAACTGCCTTTTTACACAATGCAATGACCACCTGATACAGATTGAACCCGTGGTCACATACACATGCTCTGTTTGTGTATTGCTAGAGAGTTTATTTTTTTCTTGGGAGGGTGCATATAATCAGCACTGTCCAGACAGAGGGTCAGAAGATTCACATCCTACTAGAGCAGAAAGGAAACTCCTCCTACAAGCTTTAACAAGTGCTCTGCTGAAGTTACAAGCCTGCCAACTGCTGATGAGAACAGGTATTTAGCAGTTATTTACTAAAAATAATTGCATTTCTGTGTGTGTACTATGGGAGACCAGATAGAATGAAGGGGCAAGAGTGCTTTTCCTCAGTCTGTCTGAAGGCATCCAAGGATAGGCCAAACAAGCATTGGCATGAAAGAGCAGCCTCTCATTTTGCTTTTCTGCTAACCAACACTTACTGTATGTGAGTGTATCTCAGCTGCATAAGAGCTAGGGGATTGGGTTTGCATATTTAAGCCATGGGATCCTCACCAGAACCTCATGTAGTCTTTCAAGACATCCGCTGAAAAACTCATGCTCTAGGAAAAAACAAAAAAAACAAAAAAAATAAATAAATAAATAAAAGTCTTCTAGAAGCTGCCAAATGGCAGATTTTCTAGATCCGATTTTCTGGAACAAAAGCACACCTTTTGTCCAGACTAAAAGGGCTTGGCAAACTCCCACTGCAGCCACCATAGGCTACAGAGCCATGCAGGACAGAGACGCAGAGAGGTGGCCTTAAAGAAAGGCTTACAACTTCTTATCCATGGAGGTCTTTAAAGACCAGGACCTCATCCACCAGGACCTTAAAAGGTCTTACTAGTATGGGAAAAAAAAAAAAAAAAAAAAAACCCCACTGGAAAGTTCAAGGTTTTAAACTCCTCCATGGGTTACAGATGAGCAAAAATGTATTGGTGTTAGAAAGCCTTTCCTGGGTCCACCCCACCAGAGGTCTAATAAAAAGGCAGATATAGGAGGAACAAATTCCACGAAGACGATCTTCAGAGACACACCCATCACCCAAGGACGCTAGCACAAATCTTGGGCTTAGCTGAGCTGGGAAGGTTAAGTCTAGCAGAAAAAAAAAAAAAAAAAAAAAAAGGAGTCCTATGTTTTTTGGCTAAGTAGTCATGAATATCTATTTGATGCACACTTTCTATCCAACATAATGATCAGCATACCACATCTGCTATGTAAAAAAAAAAGAAGACAAAAGATAAATCACAGTGGAGACTGTCATCATCAAGTGGAGAAAATACGGCGCAACAGTGACATTACCAGTTTTTGGAGGGACATCCAGTTCTTGGTAAAGACAAGAAAACTGGTCTGGGAGGCTGCCAAGAGACCTACAGCAACATTAACCCACTTGCCTACCAGGCACTTATACCCCCTTATTTACCAGGCCAATTTTCAGCTTTCAGCGCTGCCGCACTTTGATTGACAATTGCGCGGTCATGCAACATATGAAATTTTGATCATTTTTTTCTCACAAATAGAGCTATCTTTTGGTGGTATTTAATCGCCACTGGGCGCTTTACATTTTGCGCTATAAATAAAAAAGGTGCAAAAAATTAGAAACAAAGAAACTTTTTTTTCAATTATAAAATTTTTCAAACAGGTAATTTTTCTCCTTCACTGATGTGCGTTGATGAGGCAGCACTGATGGGCATTGATAGGCGGCACTGAGGCAGCACTGATAGGTGACACTGATGATGGGTACTGATAGACGGCACTGACTGGCGGCACTGCTGGGCACTGACTGGCGGCACTGCTGGGCTGCACTGGTGGCGGCACTGCTGGGCTGCACTGGTGGCGGCACAGGTAGGAGACACTGCAGAGTGGCACAGGTGGGCGCACTGCTGGGCACAGGTGGGCGCACTGCTGGGCACAGGTGGGCGCACTGCTGGGCACAGGTGGGCAGAACTTGCGGGTGGCACTGCTGGGCACCGATCAGGGCACTGATCATCAGTGCCCTAATGATCGGTGCCGATCCTCGCTCTGACAACTGCCGGTTCTCGGCAGTACTTTCCTCACGCTGTCAGATCGTGAGGAAAGTGCAGCCGAGAACCGGCAGTTGCATTTCCCTCTGATCAGCGTGTCATTGGACACCGCTGATCAGGTGGTAAAAGGCCGCTGTGATTGGCCTTTTACCACATCACGTGATCAGCTGTGTCTGTAGGACACAGCGATCACGGAGAACGCCGGGTGCGCGCCTCCTGGGGCGCAAAGGAGAGCGCGTTCTGGTGGGACGTCATATGACGTCCACCCAGAACTGGCCGGCCGCAGTGCAGCCGTCATTCGGCTATCTGCGGCCGGCTACTAGTTAAGGAGCAGCAGGAATATCTGGCAAGTACTGGCTGTGTGGTATGTGTGACAACAATCTCCTGTATTCTTCATATGTCTTGGCTATGGGATAGAGTGGCA